CCTTAAAGCACTGCACAACTTCTCTGAACATCCTGAGCTCCCCAAAGTTGAAGAAGAGTAAGAAATTATTATTTTACTTTTGCAGAGCAATTGGCAGAGCTTGTGCCTGAAAGAGGTGGAAGTCAGCTCCTTTTCCCAGGTAACAAGYRCTAGGACAAGAGGAAACAGCCTCAGGTTATGCCAGGGGAGGTTCAGATTGGATATTAAGGAAAATCTCCTCACTGAGAGGGTGGTCAGGCAGCAGAACAGGCTGCTCAGGGATGTGATGGAGTGTCAAAAACTCTGCAGATGTGGGGCTTGGGGACAGGGGTCAGTGGTGGGCCTGGCAGTGCTGGGTTATCAGCTGGACCCGCTGGTCTCAGAGGTCTTTTCCAGTCTCAGTGATTCTGTAACTCTGAGAAATGCAAACACAGGCAAATGTGTCCCATCCTACTCACACCTGTTGGGTTGCTTTGCTGCATGTGATGTTTAGAAAGAAATTTCCCTTTCAGTGCATCCTAAATAAACCCTTAGAGAGAATTTTCCTTGGTTGGTTTTCTTTTCTTRTTTTCCAGTCTCTGTTATCACTGTAATATTTCATGCTTCTGGAAAGAAAAAAAATCATACTGAAGAACAAATCAATCCACAGCTTTTCTTCATTTCAGTCTTTTGTGTCCAAAGGGCTGTCCTTAACTCAATAACTGAGTTTTTATTGTGTCACATTTCACTGTCCCTGACTGCAGCCAGCCTGGTTAATCCTTTTGCTGCTGCCTTATCAGTATTTCCCTAAAAAAAGGCAATGTCCTTTTATTATCACCTTGACACCCACTCCTGAGTGCCTGGCAGGGTTGGAGAATTTCTTTTTTTTTTAATGCAGTTTTACTTAGGAAAAAGGAGCCGCTTTGAAATATTTCCCCAGCCCATGTTTTTATACATGCTTTTTAAACCCCAATGAATCTTTTGGAAATTAAAGAAAATAAAAAGAAAAAAAGAAAAAAAGGAGTGAGATTTAGGTTTCTCCAGGATTTTCAAAATGGAGGTGTTGTTCAAACACTTGGTGTTCACCCACTCCCAGCTGCTTTATAAAAGATTTGTTGCATTTCTGGTTGTGGTAAGAAATTGCTTCAAATTCTGGTATTTTAAAAGCAAACAACAACAACAAAAAAATCAAATACAGAGCCCTTTAGTTATGTATTTTATTTGTGGATTTTTACATTAATATCCTGCAGGAGATACTCAAGTATCCTGCTCTTGCAAGTCTGAATTTTGTGATAAATTTTATATTTCCTGAGCAAAAGGCCACAAGGTCAAAGGCAAAACAAAGAGAGGAGAGATATCTGTGCTAAAATCCTTTCTATAATTCAACAAGGAGCTCAAAACACACTGGCTGGTAGGAGTCACTCTGGATTGATACAGGCAGTGGCTGCATGGGATGAGAGGCTCAAGTCAAAGCTTCAGCAGTACAGGTGATTAGAAACAGGTAAATCTGATATTCTTTTTATGGTGCATTTCTAATAAATTTAGTTACCAATAAATGGTAACTAAAAAGTGCTCAAGCATTTTTTCTTGATTATTTTACTTGGGAACAGCATGGGCCCACCAAAGTGAATACAGAAAGGTCTTTTCTGTCCCTGAAAGAATAACAGTACCTTATTTCATAGACTGCAGGAACTCCTCCCCTAATACTGGATGTTCAAGGCAGCTCTCAAGGAAGTCATTAATATTTCCCAAATTCACCAGGGAAGCCACAGGCCTTGGCACAGCTGTGCTTGCAGCTACCTGCCAGATTTGTTCATTCTGTCTACAGTTCCTCTGTTGTGCTCATGCCTCTTGGCCACTTAATGCTTCCCAGGGACTGTATTACTTTCAAACCTTGGGCCATCTGAAGAAGAAAAAGTGCTTGTTTTCCATAAGAAACTGCAAAACTTGCATGTGTTTAATGAATGTGGAACTGTGTGCTTGAGGCTGCTGCTTAGCTGGGGGAATGGCATTTCTGCTGAATCTCTGAAGATTTCAAGCTAGTAATTTTTTTTTTATTTTTTCTTTTTAATAAACTCTCTCCTTCATGTACCCAGGGGCATCTTTGGTGGCACCAATCATCAACATAGACATTTTCTCCCAGTGTTACACTTCTCAAACCTATTTATTTCATTATAGTTTAAATTCTTCTTGCTCTTATCAACTGGACCTTCCATAAAGCTTTGCCTGCCTCCTATAGCAAACCTCTTTATTATCTTTATTTGAAGCACCGAACAAAATTCTTTTTAATTGTTGCTGTCTGACTTTTGTCCTGGAGAAACAAAATTTGTTTTTCAAAATAAATGATCTCTGCAGCCTTTCCCAGCTATTGGCCATCTTATCAGACCATGTAATGATGCCAATTCTACCCGCTTCATCAACTCTTTAAAGATAAACTCTAAGTCCAATCCAGTTTATCAGAGACAAAAGCAAGAGTGAAATATATGATCTCATTCCTTTGGGTGCAATTCTTTCAGCAATTGTAAAGAGTGAGCTGTTGATATGGAAAGGTTAATGCTGTACCCTCTTTTTTATCAATTGTCTGTTTTCTATCAAATCTATGTCTTATCTCATGTCTGCTTTATCAGATCTGCTTCAGTAAGGTACACATTTGAAGCCTCTTCTAAATTTAATTTCTCCTTCTCGAAAGTCCTGCAACTATTAAAGAAAGAGAAATCCTTTTACAAACTCTATTTTAGACAAGGGACATAGGCCAAGTTCAGGTATTAGCCATTTGCCAACTATGCCCTTGATCACAAAACACTCCTCATCTTCAAATTGATCAGTAACCTAAAATAGAGTATTTTAAGATAATATGCCCATTCCTAATTTCTTTTATTCAGTTAAAGGACATACGTTGGTACAAATTTCCCTTAAAATTGGCTGTTGGCCTTTCCTAGCAGTAAACTTCATGAAATAAAATAACTGATTTCTGTTCCTAGGCTTCAGCCACTCCAAGATCTTGATTGTGAAGAGACAGCCAGAGCATCAAAAATACATTTTGGGGTGTTCTTGGCACAAACTGCTGCTCCATGAACTCCCACGTGTTTCCAGTGTTTTTGGGTTCCTTCCTTTCACCTGTTTCCATCTGCTCTGTAGGGGGTAGAAAAACCACCAACCCCAAATACTTGCTCTGCTGAATCTGAAATTCTTGTGGTTTATTTGTATATTCTTTTTCCTGCTTGCTTGATGTCTCACCAGTTCTTGTGAGATGTGGAAACTGAAGGCAAGTTTCAGTGTCATTCTCCCTTTGTTGCTGTTCTCCTGAGCACTGCTGTAATTTTATTCTCTTGTCTCTGGGTGCATGAGGAGCAGGAATCTCATGGGAAAACTGCAGCTGCAGGCACTGTGAGTTTTAGGTGCTTGCAGGCTTCCTCTAGTGGAAGTAATGATAGTAATGGTGAAATTTAAACCGATAATTATGAAATTAAAAATAGACTAGCAGGACTGTTAGGAAGGCTGAGAAGAGAGAATGCAGAGATCTTGTGTTTATCAAAGATGTTGCTGAAGATTTAGCTCACAGGTGGTTTCTACCTTTAGCATTTCCAGGCACTCTACTCATAAGACTTTTTCTTAAATCTATTTTTGTGTCACTTCATCAAAATGCTCCCCATTCCTCCTCCCCATACCAAAGAGCTGTGTGTCCTTGTGCCTTTGGCTTTTGACAGTTGTCTTGCACAGCAATTTGATCTTCCAAATGCATCATTTCCTTATCACTGAAAGCAAGGATTTTGAGTGACATCTCATGGCCTTAGCCTGGAGGCCAGTTCCCTGTTGCCAGCATTAGCGTGTTGTTGACTTTTTCAGCTTCATGTTGTATTTCATGTACTTGGTGTTAAAAAACTTCCTTCAGCCCTGCTTTTCAGCACTCTTCAGTAGGGTAACTGTGTCTGACATTAAAAATCTGCCCAGTGTTCCCCCTGCATCAGTTACGAATGTTTTGACAAGGACTTTCTAATGCTGCAAAAGTATTTTTGAAATTATGTAACTTCTGTTTAAACCTCACTGTCTCCCTCTCAGGCTCTGATTCTAAGGTTTTAAACATTTTACATTAACTGTTAAAAGACACTCTTAGAGACTCTTACAGAAATCCTCTCTTTCTGTGCAAAAGGCAATCCAAGATCAAAGTTTGCTTAAAAACAAATTGATAGGTTCCCTGAAAATATATGCTTCATAATAAGGAAATGAAGGAAACACAGTATAATTAATTGTCCCATTCACTCATGGATTGAAAGGAAAATTAACCATTTTGGTAAAAAACAAAGCTAATGCCTTTTTTCCAATTGAAGTTCTCTAAGCTTTAAATATTCAACAGCTTTAAGGATAAGGTACATTTTTTTGTGTTAGATTGATCTTCCTTCCAATCCTTTGAGCAGTTTGGAAGTTTGTGCCAGCTCTCAAAACTGACAACTCTTGCCCTGCTTAAAGGACTCAAAGGATTCAGATGAAAAATTTATTTTAACGTTTGATCTCCACCTCTCCTTGACAGAAAAAGTGAACTTTTAGCCATTACCAAAACTGCAGAAGGTAGTCTAGAATTCATTACACCTAACAGGAATGAGAACCTTGGAATATGCCTTGGCTTGAGAAAAACAGGTTCTACCTTTCAGTGACATAAACCATTTTTTTAAATGGCCATAATTTTGCTACTGTTACATCTAGGAAAATGGAACTATTCTAAATTGATAGTTAAAAGTGTAACTAAGCCAAAGGAGATGAGCATAAGTGTTTTGTGGAATGAACACCTTTAAAATTACATCTCTAGTAAGGAATTTATAAGTACTGGAATTATCTGGAATTCCATCTCTGAAAGTGTAGTCTTTGTTCACTATCTTATCGTTGTTCTTTTTGGGGTTTGGAGATCCCCAAAGACCTCTGGGAGTTTTTGTTTTAGGTTTCATTTTGAGTTGGGTTTGTTTTTTTCTCAGCTGAGGTATCAGATATTAAATGGATGCAACGTACCTGGAAGACATACAAAACTGGTGCCAACACAAAAAAAGTGTAGAAAAGATTTATTGTAAACAAAATCATTCTGTGCAAACAGTGAGAGAAAAGGCTTCTCTTGTTTTTAAAATGCCACAACTTTGTAACACTTAAAACTCTCCACATCTACTCAGTAACAGTCCACAAATAGTCCACTCATGTCAGTTATGGAATTGGCTTTGATTTTCCTTGCAGAAGGAGCTCCAACCTCTGAGGTTTAATGTTGGCTCTTGAGCAAGATCTATTTTTTAATACCTCAGAGGCAAGAAGGCGATGAATGACCCAACAAAACAGGAAGATAACTGTGGCAACATTGGGCCGGGGTGCGATCCGCAGCCCTACCAGCCCCAGGAGCTGCTCCTTGCGCCCAGGCTGGAAATGCCGGGCCCGGGGCGCTGCTCCTCCAGGCGGTGGAACTCGGTAAGGCGGAAACGAGTGGCCAGAGCGTTCACCATCCTTTTCAGCGTGAAAAAGGCAGCGACCACTTGGAAGGCGAGGAAGGCGGCAAAGACGATGTGGACGGCTCGCTCCAGCGAGTGGATTTTCAGACCTTCATTGAACAGCAAGAAGAGAATGACAGGCAACTGCGGGAGGAGAGTCAGGAGCCAAAACCCAGCCAGCTCAGGCACCTGTAAGAGGGAGACATCACCTATTAAAAACTTGACAGCTTGTCATGGTTTTACAAAAACCAAGCAAAAAACCATGACACAGCTGAAATGAAAAAAAAAAAAATCCAAAATCTTGTGAAGAAAAGACATTTCTTTTTAATTTTTCAAAAGCCAGCACATAATGTGGAAAGGCAAAGTGAGGCGGCTTCGTATTTTCATATCCTGTGTTTTTAAGGGTACTTACATTTTCTGACAAAACAGATTTAGGGAGTGAGAGAGCGCTCCTCTGAGGGAAAGCCACTTGGAATCCACAAAATTAAGTGGAATCCACAAAATTAAGTGGAAGCCACTTGAAATCCACAAAATTAATTGGAAGCCAAAGAAACCGAAGATGCAGAGTGCAACTTAAGAGCAATAACCATCTCCTCAACTTAACTCTCTTAAATTCAATGCCTGCCAGTTAAACTCCAAACAGCAAAAATTAATATGTACATCTGGTAACATACTTTCTCCAGGAGATTGCCCACGTAGCCCAGGTAGAGTCGAATGAGCTCTGTCAGGGAGACCAGGATCATGATGGTGACCAGGATGAACTTGTAGTAATCTGACAAATCTGGATACTGGAAGGGAAGAAGAGAGTAGAAATTTGATCTGTTTGTGATCAAATGCAGATCCTCTGTGCTACTGTCAGCATTTAACCCCTCCTGAACCTCCAATTTCCAGGAATTCCCGAATCAATGCAATAACCTCTAATTCCAGTGAGCTGCATCCCATCCTAGGAGATGTTTGATGTAATCACATTCACAAACCAGCACTTTCCTTTGTTCTCACCTTCAGGTAGAGTATGACAACTGTGACAAGCCACCAAAACGGGAAGAAGTAAACATTGAAATAGAGGGACATCTGCAGTGGCAAACTGGAAAGTATTTCACAATCTGTACAGAGAGAAAGATTTTATTACTCCCAGTTTGTTCCATGCTTCTCTGCCACAAAATGACAGAAAGATACTGCTCCGTCTTAGCTTCATGCAGGCCAATAACACTCTTTCCAGTCAAATTAAATGCTAAGAAAAATATTTTTACTTATGCAGAGGAAATCTCAACACCCTGTGTGGAGTTAGGTAATTTCCTGGAATCTAAGACACATTTTGGTTCCTGGGACACGGAGTTTTTATCACTTAGTCATGTAGTTGAGTGTCCAGTTGAGGATTATCTGGTGGCTTACTCCATCTTTGACTGAGGCTTAGCTCAAGAGAGCTGCTGGAGAGCAGGCTTGCATGGCCCATTCTTCGTTTTCAACCTTTTATTTAAACTTGGTTGGAAGCCAGTAATTTGTCTGATTCTTAAGAAGTAACAATTTCAAATGTGTGTCAAATTAAAATCTCATCCTTTCAAGTCTGCAGAGGACAAAATGCATTCACACAATGCAATGTAGGGAAGAGCAAGTATCAAACTCTAACATGCAGGCAGTAAATTCTGTATTTATGGTTTCGTAATAGACCTAACGAAGTCAGACTTAAGGAAAAGTCTAAAAGGGAATAATTTATTTTTCATCAGTGGAATTTTATTGCTATATTCTGGCAAACTCTGGTTTGTGTCTGGAGGCACATCCTCACCKGGGCAAGTTCAGAGAGACTCACTRTGATCTGCTGGTTTGTATTCAAGTSCTGTGCCTCTGCCTGTCATGCTGGTGATACGTGGCTGAAAGTTTCTCCAAACACTCACACTGCCTCACCTCCAGCCTCAGAACCACATCTTCTGACACTGCCTTCTCTTTTGACATCTTTCAACCACCCTCACACTTTTGTTCCACCTGATCTGGCATTCCACACAGCCTGGTACAGTCTGCCTCACATGTCTTTGTGCCGGGTGCTGAGGGAGCCATGGTAACCACTAAAATCAAGTGGGAAGAGAGGAGGAATTGGGAACAGAACAGGGACAGACCTTAAAGGTAGGGTGTGAGAGGCAGGGATTTGTTACACTGAAATAAAAGCTGCAAGACGACATATATATATTTTACACACACATATATACACACATATTTAATAATCCCATTTTTAAGCATCAACACCTTATATCTGCAGAGGAATTAAAACCTATAGGTACCTCAAAACCAGTTTCACCATCTACCTAAAACTGTCCCTGCTGTTCCTAATGAAGGAACCTCTTGAGGTTCGAAGGCGACTTTAGAAGTCACCACTTAATCTTTCAAAAAAAACACAACCATCCAATTACAAGTATTTCTGTACCATATGTATTGGATAAAAACGTAATGGCCATATTACTTAAAAACAGAGAAGCCAAGAGTTTTAATTTCAATCGTGATGACAATTTTTAGGTATGTTAAAGGTTCCATTGACATGGCATTGCTATTTATAAATTCTGTGCAAATCCTAAAACTGTGTTTGGATGAATGTTTAAGCAATATAAGCCAATTCTAATTCATTTTTTTCTATCCCTAAATTAAATTAATGCTTATTTTCTGGGATTGCTAAAATTWATGGAAAAGCCAGACACTATTGCAATGGCCAGTTGCTACAGCAACTTGCCAAGATACATATGTGTAAAAATTTTTCAAATCCCTATGTCCAATAATTTAATGGTACATTTGCAATTCGTTTCAGTGGATTGGATATTAACATGGGAATATTTTCATAACGGGAAACGGAAGAGGCTAAAGATAGAAGCTATTTGTGAAATGTTTAATAAACGAAGAACTAGGAAGTGTTAGCAGTGTAACTACACAAAGAAAATGCACTCCTGTCTTGAAATAAGAACGGCTTTTTGATTAATGTGATCGGCAAAGAATGGATTTATCAGTTGGAATCACTACAGCCTTTCGATGCAGACGCTTTGTGTGATTTCCATAGCAGAGGTTTGAAAAGGGGGCGTGTTGGAAGCCGCGGCAGAGGTTTGAAAAAGGGGCGTGTTGGAAGTCCCACGGGAAATACGATGGGCGAAGCTATCAGTTAGGGTCAATGCAGAAAAAGCCGAACAGCAGCTGCTGCGAGCGGTCCCGGAGCGGTCTCTCCCGGTGCCGAGCCCCACAGGAGCGCTCCGGGCCCGGCCCCGCCGCCTGCCCCCCGTGGCCCCGGGTACCTGCGCGGTATCCCGGGAAGCCCGGCGGGGCGCGGGGGCTGTCGCTGAGGGCGGCGTGGCGGCTGTCGCTGAACACGGAGCTGCTGAAGGACACCAGCCGCCGCCGCAGCGGCTCCGGCAGCGTCGGGGGCCCCTCGGGCCGCGCCATCGCGCCCAGGCCGCGGAGGGGCCGCGCATGCGCCGGGGAGGCCCGGCCGGGAGCGGGGCTGGAGCGGAGCGGGAGCGGGAGCGATCCCGGTTTGGGGCTGGAGTGATCCCAGATTTGGGGCGGAACCAATCTCGGATTTGCGGCGGAGGGAGCGGAGTCTCCGCCCATGGACGGACCCCGAGCGCAGCGGGGCGCAGTTTTGGGGGAATGGAGCCCGCTCCTGAGGGCGGCCGCGCGCTCCTGAGGGCGGCCGCGCGCTCCTGAGGGCGGCCGCGCGCTCCTGAGGGCGGCCGCGCGCTCCTGAGGGCGG